CTCCCTGGTGATGGCAGATCTCATTGTATCTGTCACTGTAGTTGGTCCTGATGGCCTCCACCTGCTTAGCCAGCACATCTTTGTCTTCTGAGTTGACTCGCGTGAAGGTGACAGTGCTACAGGTCTTCCTGTGGACCAGACACCCCAACGTGGCCTTCCCCTTGGTGAATCAGTAAGGGACCCCCATCTTGCGACACAGGGTAGGCAGGAATATGATCAGCTCAGTGGGGTCCATGTTGTGCACAATTGCCACGAGCTGAGCCTTCTTGTTCTTTATCAGAGTGGTGACAGTGTTGACACCTACTCTGAGGACTGGTGGCCTCTTAGTGGGGACATCTCCTTTGCCAGAAGCTTTCTTCTCTGCCCTGGCCAACAGCCTTTGCTTCTTCTCTTGCTTGGTCTCTGGTCTGTACTTGTGAGCAAGCTTAAGCAGCTGTTTGGCGGTCCAAGGCCTGGGTGAACTGGTTAATCACAGGGGGCACCTTCTGCCGCTTATATAGGATGGCCGTCTGTCACTGCAGCTGGATGTAGCGGGGCCATTTGACAAAGCAGGTGAGTCTCTCTTGGGCTGGATGTCTGGTTCAATTCCAAGATTCTTTGGCTTCTTTTCAAACAGGGATTTACCACCTTTTTGGCCTCCTGCTTCTTCGCAACAGCAGGGGTCGGGGCCACCTTCTTGCCCTTGGCCTTCTTCCCTTTTGGCATCTTGGCCAGCTGACAGAAAGCCACTAATGTGGCTTTTAACATAGCAGTGTGATGCCCCTCGACTCAGGAAGAGAAAAGCACTCAGCTCCCAAGCTCGTGCAAGCTGACTCCATTGCAAGACTGCGTGAAGATTATCAACTAAAGGTGTGAATCAAGAAACACATTCAGGTGGACTTGAAGTGTGGGCTGATGGTGGTACTTGGAGGTGACAGAAGTGTGAGGGGAACAGCGAGCAGTTACAAGGATCGTTGGATGAGAACCTCATGGGGGAGTTATGGCACCCACCTCTCATAAGCACTGAGTCCAAGCAGAGAGTTCATGCATGTTACGTGAATTTTTTCCCAAGACTCAAAACAGCCTAAGAAGATAGGTGTTGGTACAATCCTCACTTTACAGATGAGGGATCTAGACAAAACGCAACTAAGCAAACCTTCCCAAGGTAATGAATCAAAGGAATCTGAACCACAGCAATCTGCATTCAAACTAGTGGATACTGTGTCCCAGTATCTTACAGTTGCCCTCAGGATCTGCAAAAGGACTGAACTACAGCAGAATGTGCAGCCTGAACTCAAAGAGTGACAAGAGAAGAGCGTGGCTGCAGAGACACACCTGGGGCAGCACAGAGGACAGAGCAGGGCCACCATGCCAAGGGCTTTCGGGGAGCAGAGGAAGGCTTAGGAACACCAGGCGCACAGCCAGGCGTCAGACTGGATTGTTCTCATCCCTCGGTCATTCCTTGCCCTTGGCTGTTTCTGCCAGCTGCAGGCGCAAGGACAATCTGGTACTTTCCAAAATTAGTTATGAAAATGTACTCTTCACACTGATAATAAATGCTTTTCAAGTGTAAAGAGCTAGTTTGCCAATGAAGACAGCTGAATCTAATTGTTGCAAGTTTCTAATGAATATTTAATGAGTTGAAAAGACAGATCAACTTTGTTAGAGAAACAGCAAATTGGCATGAAAAGCAAGCAGGACTGTGTCACTAAGACTACTGCCATGCAGCACCGGTCTCCTCTTCCCGCTACCGTTACCACACGGAGGATGCGCTCCACACCTGGCCTTGCACAGGGAGGCGCGTGTGCTCATGTGTGGGAAGCACGGCCACGCTCCCTAGAATGGCAGCCGCCTGAGCTCGACAAGGCCCCTGAGCTCGACAAGGCCCCTGAGCTCACGAGCTGCAGTTCATGCCCTTCGCAGTGAAACACTGGGTCTGAAAGAAGAAATACCAAGTATCTCATGAATACTTTATATTGATCACATGTTGAAAGGAAAATGACTTGGATCTACTAAGCTGGATAAAATTATTAAAACATTGCATCAATTTCTTTTTATCTTTTTAAATATGGGTACTTTAAAATTGTAAATTACAAGGCTGGCCTGATAGCTCAGCGGATTAAAGTGCCTGCTTTGGCAGAGTGCAGCGGCTGGGGTTCAATCCCTGGCCTGCCGTGCTGGCCCTGAGCCCGGGGCAATTGAGACTGGGCATGGTTGCACGCCTGTAAACCCAGTACTTGGGAGGCTGAAAACAGAAGAATCACTATGAGTCTGATCTACGTAGTGAAACCCTGAACATCTTGTAGACCCTGCCCTAAATACAGAAAAAAAAAAATTAAATTACAGATGTGCTAGTACATGAGGCTCACATTATATTTTATTTCTCCCAAGGGCCTTTTAGGAAGAGAAACTAAAATCTTCAACTGTTTTAAATTGTTTGGTCATTAGCATTTAAGTTTTGTGTACCCTGTGTTCTCTGGGTACAGATGTGAAAGAGGCTGCCTGGCACCTTGGGAAGCCAGAGCCAAACCACCTGCCTCTATTTGCTTGGGCTTCCCATTGAGGACCTCAGAAGTTTGAGCCCTGATCCTCCTCCCCGCACGCCAATGCTTCTTTTGATCACATCGATGACCCGAGTTGTCTCCAGATAATCTTTTTTCTCATGTGCCTCGTCCTGTTTCCATTTAAGAGAAAATCTGCTTTGCTTTCTTTTGGGTAGAGTGTGATCAGAGTCTGCTTCTAGCCTCTGCTTTCCTTCACTTCATGGCTGACCATGGCCATGTATTTGGTTTCCCTGAGCCTCAGTTTCTTCATTTTTAAAGTGTGGATGATAACAGATCCATAGGGCTGTAGCCAGGACTGTGTGCATTCAGACAGGCTCAGGAAGCATCACCATCTGTTTCATCCCCACCTTTCCCATTACTTCAGCTTGGGCCATCCCAACCCACACACCTTTGCTTCTGGGGACCTGAGATAAACCCATCTCACTTTCTTCTGTGGTACATAGACATTAAACATAGTATGGTTCCTGTCTTGATCACTTTTCTTTCGTTGCTGAGACAAAATACACAAGGCCCCAAATTAAGAAAGAAAAGGTTCATATAGCTCACAGCTCCTGGAAGTTTCAGTCTGTAATCAATAGGCTCAAAGGCAGGGTGGTGGGACAGAGGGACAACAGATCAAGACGGCAGAAGACAGCAAAAGTGACAAGAACAAAAGAGGGGTACAGCAAATCTCATTTCCTTCCTTATGTTATAAGCAGGCTACCTGACGCCTGGGGCAGGTGTAGCACTCACACCATTTCCATGTCCTCCTCTTGCAGGGACTGAGAATGTGTACAAAGTGAGGACCCTGACCCCCTGCTCAGTCCCTTAAACTTCTAAACTTCTCAAGTTGACACAACATATCAACTATCACACCTGAACTGTGCTGCCACTCTAGGGAGATGGACCTCCACCTTAATTTTGTAGCAAAAGGAGTTCCTGCCTTTTCTGTCTTAGCTAGGAGCAGGTGAGATGTGGACTGGTGGGTGGCCTGGGGAGCAGGTGTAGAGGACGGACCTCCAGGGAAAGGGACCACAAATAGCCAGGGGCAGCCCTGGAGAGAGGCCTAGAGAGGCAATAAACCAGAAGGAAAAGTAAAAGACAAATAAAACAAGAGACACTTATGTCTACTGCCTGCAATGAAGTCTGGGCTCCTCTGTGCCCTCAGGTCTTTAATGAGCAGACAGACGCAAGAAGTAAAAAGTGCTGGAAGCCAAGAGGAGCACTAGAAAGTGCTGGAAACCTCTAGGAGCACTAGAGCCACACTCACTACCCTGCAGACCAGAAGGTCCATGTGCTTATGGTGGGGTGCAAGTTCACTGCAGTGTACTCCCCAGCAGAGCGGTCAGGTCCGGACACTGAAAGCCTACTGTAGGAGTTTCTCTTTCTTGGGCTCAGAGGCATATACTGCCCACAACCAAAGAGAACTTCAGCCCCCACGTCTCAGTCAGTGGACATGTACTTCATTCCCAAACCCCTGGGGTCCAGCATACCCCCCTTCTTCTCATCTCCCAGCCATGAGTGGTCAGCTTCCTACACCTATGAGGACGGCAGAGGAGGCTCCTCCCCAGCAGGAAATTCTCTCTTTCCTGCTACAGGAACAGGACAGGTAAGGATGATCGAAAGAAACGGGAAAGTGGCCAATAGTACCAAACATTCACTGTTTCCCAGGAAGAAACAACCATGCTAAACTCTACACATTGAGTCAAACACTGTGCCAAGCACTTACAAACTCATCAAATCCTCCTGGTCTCCCAGAGGGAGGTTCTAGAAAGTCCACTCTGCTAGAGGTGGCTGGGCAATCTGTAAAAACCAAGTCACCTAACCTAGACGCACACAGTGGAAGGCCCGGAGTGTAGTCTGACTGCACACTCTGCCTGTGACAGCAATGAATAAGGGGCTGTACAGGTGCAGCCCTCCCTGGAGGCCCTGTGGCCTGGGTGACCTCACACTGGCCCTGAAACTCCTCATTTGGGGGTCAGTCTACATTGATGGGTGGAAGCCACAAACCTGCTACTCGGCTTCTAAAGTGGGGGCCACACATGGCTGCCTCACATTGGAGAGACAGTGTTTTCTTGGGGCTCTGTGAGTCTCTGCTGTGGTCTCCTGTATCTCACTTATCTTACATCTTAAATATTAAATATTAAGATTTAATATATTAAATACTAAATCTTAATGTTTACATTTCTGAAAGAATTCAGAGAAATAACACTCTCCTGAAACACCTTTCCTATCTAACTTTTCATATTTTTAACGAAACCATCCTAATATTTTAAAGGTCACTCACTGGGTCCACCTGAGTCCTTGCCCTGTCCTTTGGATGTGTCCCACTGCAAACCCAACCCCTGCCCTCAGGAGCACTGTCCCAGGTGCCTTGTCTTGGCCAGGTGGTGGGCAGCTGGCTCTTTCTGTGCCTGGCTTTCCCTTCACACGCTCAGCTGGTGCTGAGCAAGCCTGTGCTGAATGAATGAAGAAGGGGAGGCTGCTCCAGCGGGCTGGAGGAGGGTTGCTGTGACAGCATCCACATCCCAGAATAAAGTTGTTTCATTGCAGAGGAGAGGGGAGTGGTGGGTCAGGAACACAGGGCAGGGAACAGGAGTGCAGGGAGGGGACAGACCCAGAGGTCGGAGCTTACCCCAGAAAGGCGAGGAAGCGCGGGTTGGTGGCCAGGTTGGCATCGATGGTGAAGGACAGGAAGGCGGGGCTCACGGAGCGCAGCGGCCGTGCGGTGGCCAAGTCCAGCGGCACAGCGTTCCAGGCCTGCGCGGCCCAGAGCGGCCGGAGGAGCAGGAGGAGCAGCAGGAGCGGCTGGGGCATCGTGGCCACCTGGCTGCTCTGGCTCTGCGCTTCCTGCCCACCGCGCCCTCCTAGTTCTCCAGTCACCGGCCCCGCCCCGCCCCGCCCCGCATCACATCACCCCCATTTCCTCCCGTCCCCGCCCCAGGCTGTGGCGGCTGTAGTCTCGGTCGCTTATGAAACCGGCTACACCGTCTAAGAGATCAGGGATGGCAGGGACCCGCCCTGGGGAGGAGCGCCAGCCACTGCCCCAACACTCTGGGCTGTCGCTGAAGCCTCCCAAGATCAGTGGAATCACGTGTCCTAGGGTCTGAGAGATGTTCCTTAGGTTATGTCACTTTTGCTTCCAAGACATCTGACCCGAGCAGCGCTGAGCTGCCCTCCAAAATTCCTGACCGGCTTCTGAAAGTCTGTCAGGGAGGGAGCCTTAGAGTAGTAATGCTTCTTCTGACATCTGAAACAGGATGTGAGTGTGCAGTAGTGGCTGTGCCTTGAATTGGGGAGACTTTGTCCAATTTCTTCTCTACACATTTATAAACTTCATCTGTTCCAGAACTTTTCTTTGGTTTTCCTTTGATTCTTACATTGATACATAATGATACTCATATCAAGCCCGCATCAAACTACATGCCTGATACCCTGAGAGGTGTTTTATCTGCTGTTAGAGCTTAGGTCTAATCACTCCCCAACCCCGGTGTCCAGAGGTGGGGCACTCAGAAGACACGTGGGTCTCAGGGCTCTGGCTTCATCAGTACCACCCACTGATGAATTCCAAACTTGATGGTGTTATGGAGAGGCAGTGGGAACACGGGAGGTAGGGCTTATGTGAAGGGATGAGGTTGTGTGCTATGAGTTTAGGGACTGTATCTGTTCCCTCGTGCCTTCCAGCCTGGCTCTTTTTCACTCCATCCTTCCTGGCTGCCATAAAGTGAGCTGACTTCTGGCTCCTTACCCTTCCGCCAGGACATTTCTGCCTCAGAGGCCTCGTGCCTGGAGCCAGACAGCCCTGGATTGAACCCCCAATACTAGGAGCCAAAATATACCTGTCCTCTTTAAGTTGATTTTCTTGATGAGTTGATCTGTTGATCAAAGAGATGCAAGGCCAAGTTGCACATCTGTGTTGTCACTCATTTTCACAACACTCCCGAATGCACACTCCCCTCATTTGACATGTGGGGGCCTGAGCTCTGGGGCAGCCACTTGTCCATAGGTAGGAATTGAGGTGTGGAGGCAGCTGCCCACCCCTGAGCAGGTGGCCTCTTGTTCCCACTGAACTATCTGCAGGGGAGCATTCTCTGTACCCCTAGGTAGCTCAGATCGCCCATGGTCCACCCCCACGGCAGCATCCTGTGCTCCGGAAGCTCACAGGTGCTGAGCACAGTGTACTGGACTGCAAACTTCTCCAAGGCAGACTTAGGTGTTGTCTCTTCCTTTCTGCTAGCCACAGCTCATGCATGGCAACAAGGCTGGCACATGGTAGGCACCCAGGAAATGCTTGTTGAGTAAACAAATGACACCTAAATCCTTAGATCTCTAGGTTTAGGTAGCATAAAAAATGGATCGCTTTGACATGTGTATCAATTTGCATCATTGTGTCTATTCTTAAACCATTTAAAAGCTAAGTACATAGTTAATGTTGCCCCACGAGCAGGTTGACACCCTACAATTACAGTATACATAATAAAAAATTCTTATATGAACACCATGCTGCCCAGTGAAATCCTGTGTTAATGATATGGAGGGAGAAAAACAAAACCCTTGGCTCTTGTTCTACCTGTATCATGACATGGATCCTACATTCCACCCCATGCCCTTGCCTCCTCTTGTCACCTGGCAAACACCACCCTATTTCTTTGGAGTACTTGGGAAATTGGAAAAATGGATCATCACAAGTTTTCTGAGTTTTCAGTATGAGCTTGTACATCCAGATGTGGGCATGCAGGCTACTAATATGGGAACTGGGGAGACACAGATGAGGAAGTGAAAGAAGTGCCTTTCTCACGTGAGGTTCTATGGCCCGAGGCCAGAAGTCTTCCTGGCTGTTGATACTGAGTTAGTTTGGTCCACTATGACAGATAAGGGGACTATCTAGGGATGGAGGAGGGAGAGATCTAGAAACTATCACTTCAGACACACTTATAAGTCACCTTACATTTTTATGGTAAGTTTAAGCTTACATGCATCTCAGCTCAAGCCCTTCTACAAGGCTTTTTTTTTTTTTTTTTTTTTTTTTTTTTTTTTTCAGGATCTTACCACACAGATCAACTCGTAGTGATCCTTCTGTTTTTAGCCTCCCAAGTGCTAGGATTACAGGAGAGCGCCACCATGCCCAATCTTAGCTGCCATCTCAGTTTCAGGATGCCCCAGGGGCAGGGCTAGTGTAACATGCTGGGAACTTAATCCTCTATATGAAATATGAATGTGTGCTCAATAGATTAGACATATTTTAAAAATCATCACCCTATTTAATCTCCACAAAAGTCTTTATGTCATGGTTTGGATTTAGAAGTCCCTCAATAGCTCACGTACTGAAGGCCTGGTACCCTGAGTAGTAGTCAGAGGTGGAGCTTTGGGGTCGTGGCTCCTGGGGGTACTGATTTCATTAATCAGTTAATTCACTGATGGGTTCATGATCTGGTAGACCATTGAGAGGTGGGGCAGTCTGTAGGAGGCAGGGCCTGGGTAGAGAAAGTAGGTTACTAGAAGATGTCCCTAGTAGGTTACAGCTTATTCCAAATACCCTTCTCAGAGAAGCTCCTTGCTTCCTGACTGCCATGAGGTGAGTGGTTTTTCTTTCACACATTCCTAACATCATGATATTCTGCTCCACCTCAGACCCAGAGTAATGGAGCCAGAAGACCATGGACTGCAACCTTTGAAATCATGAGCCCAAGTAAACCTTTCCTCTTTTTACTTATTTTCTCAGGCATTTTGTCACAGCAATGGAAAGCTGACAAACACACCCTGTAAAGTATGTTTAGACCCGGGTTCTATGCCAAGTTTACATTTTCTCACACTATACCCACATTTGATGACTTAAAAACTAGGTGAGGAAACTGACTTAGAAAAAAAAAGTTTCAAATGAACTGGAATACTCATGTGAATTATTTAATAATTACAACATGCACCTTTTGGAATGGATTTTGGATTGATTGTCAGTAGTGGAATCAGATTTCTAGGATTCACAAAATTTACCTGGTGAGCAACAACAAATACTTGTTAGAGAACTTCAAGGGGTTTCCAGAAAATAATAATCTTCCAGTTACCTGTGTAGAAAATAAAGATTTTTCTACTGTAGAAATCTCTTAAGGGGTGGGGTCAAACTTTTAGGCATTTTAGTTACTGCCAGGTTGTATAATTAGCTATATACTGTGTTGTTTTAGGTTACTGGGTTATGACTTGCTAAAGCTTAGGTTTCGGGGTTTTTTTTTTCAGTTATTTTTTTTAAGACTAGGAAAATTTGTTGGAAAATAGGAATGGGGAATAGGAACTACAAGTAGATACTGAGGGACAACAGGGGATCCTAAATGGGCTACCGTCAGTACTTTTCAACCAAACTATACTCTAAGATAAGGACAAAATAGAAGGAAATCTTTGCTAGATGTGGAAGATAGGACTATATGATCAGCCCCAGAGACTGAGGCCTTGTTGCCCTTTCCTGGGGGTAGGAGAGGAGGTGGAGGGCTACCTTCTCTTCTGTTTACGTTCAGGAATGCTGACACAATACTCTGGGGCAGAACAACATCAGTCAGGGCTAAACAAAGAAAATTACCCCTCTGGGTGCGAGGTTGTTATGATTCCTTGTTAATTACAATTTCTTGAACTCTGGATTGTATGATTGCCACATTATCTGTTTTACTAATAAAAATGGAACTTTCTAGACTCCAAGTGCTCTTGTCCTCTTTTTAAAATGTATTTTAGTACAGGAGCTACAGGGTCTCACTACACAGATTGGACTCCAGTGATCCTCCTGTTTTCATTCTCCCAAGCGCTGTCTTGCCCTCTTCAGATGGGAACCCTTGTGCCCCTTGCTTGGAAACTTGTCTCTCCTCTTTATTCCATGTCATTCCTCCTAGGTTAGTTTGCAGGCTGGCTCCTGCAGCTAGATACTGAAAAAAGAAGTTAACATCAATGATGGACATGATGTTTTTCAAGGTATTTTCACACATTCATTTCTCTATCAATTCATCCAAATATTTACTGGTGCTAACCAAGTACCAAGCACTGGACTAAGTGACACATAATTTGCAGTACATATTTCTTTTAGTGTCTGTAGGAAAGTGGATACTAGGGTCCAGCAAGTGAGCCAGAGGTGTCAGAGAAATCAGTAAGTGTCCCTAGAAAAAGAGAAGAGCTGGGGGGGAACTACCCACTCGGCGCCCCCCCTCCTGTCCCTCTCTCAGGACAGGAGCTTTCTTTCTCTCAATAATTATATTCTGCTCATAACCTCCATTTGTTCCTAAAATTCATTCTTTGGTTTTAGAGAACACGAACTCGTGCAGGTCAGTTCCAGAGATCGTTTTTGTCTATGTCATTTGGAGGTTCCCTATATGGTTTGGAGCTCACCCACCCAAGATCAGTTTTTCTCCCTATATCATTTTGGAGTTTCTCACTGAGATCATTGGATGGAGGTATGAGTTTGCTTTTCTTTCATAAATTCTGAATTGGGACTTAGGTAACAAATTTATGTTTCAAATGTTAATATGTCTTTGCTCATTGCTCATAATTATTCATGTTCATGCTTTGCCTCATATGGTTTTGCTTCACATAGTACTGTTAAAATTGCTTACAATTGCTTCTGTTTTGTCTCTTATATTGTTGGTAAAATGTTGGGTCAAAATGTTGTCGGTAAATCTTAAGTTAAAATGTGGAAATGTTACAAGTTCATGATATTTCATTAATGGGACATTTTATGACTGTTGTGTATTCGTATACATTGTCTTTGAACTGGTTGACTAAATGTGCTGGTATTCCTTGCTCGATTTTAGACCATAGCATTAGAGTAATGTTAGTAAGCCTCCTAGTGAATTTTATATAAACTTCTGTAAAATGGGACCTTTTAGCCAG